TATGTTATACATTTATAGTAATAAAAAAGTAGTACAACTATAAGATAGATTTAAAAATCTTTCTTATAGTATAATTCTTCAGAATTATTTGGTAAATTTATTGTGATAAAGATATCATAAAAACCATATAATTTAAATTTAAGTATACTTTATTTGCCACATCTTATTTTCTCCGAATTGGTTTTTAGAACCCCAAAACTTACCATAGATATCGTAAAGAAAAGTTAAATATGTATAATTAAAAAAGATATTCAAAAATCTACATTGTAATGTATAGTATGGATTGTTCCCATTGTTAAATTATCATCTAAATAAAAATAAAATTGGTGTATATTTTGTAATTCTAGGGTTATCTATAGACTTAAAATAGTTCTAACACTTTTGTAGGTTTACGCTTGACCAATTTTTATTGTACGTATATTGTATAATGAGTATTTATTTATTTTAAGTTGTAGTCTTAAGGTTTAAGAGGCTATCGCTTACAAAGACTTTCACTGTAAACTTGTTTATATTCCACGTCCAGGGTCTATGGCTTAAAATAACTTAGGTTTTGCCATTCGATATGCTCGGGCCAAGAGGCTAAAACACTGCGTCCTGCCTACGCCATTAGGTACTCAGACGCTGGACCAGAGTCTCGTCAGCTAGGCGCCTGATATATGCGACCCGTTCTTCTCCCCAGAGCGCCCATACACCCGTAACGGATTCACTACGACGAACGCATCCGTTCCAAAAGAATTAAGTTTCAAGAGATAATTCGCTTAGAGTATGTGAAAAATCCAGTCAAATCAAAGTAATACTTTATTCACATAAACTTTTACGAGCAATATTAATTTACGTTCTTATAATGAATTATTAGTACGTAAGATCGCGAGTAAGCTATTACGCAAAATCTCAAGCTCAAAAATGTAAATGTAAAGAGAAGCTGGAGAGAAACACGACAGTTTCTGTTTTAAACATAATATTTGCTTACAGTCAAAACAAGAATTGTTTACTTTTCTTATGTGCCTTTACCAATCGCTTTTCATAAATTTGAAGCAGTGACTAACTAAAAAGGGGGTCTGTACAATGTTCACAATATGGATTACAATACCGGTGAGACACCGGCAAGGAGACCCGGCTAAAATACTTGAATGCATTTAGTTTCGAGATATATGTAGTAAGTAGACCGCGTTTTCCATTTATATTTGATAAATTATTCTTGTTTCTAAGGTACAATCTTTAATGCACATACATATAAATACTAATGGTTTATGGTACACTACTTACTTATGGTAAAGAAATTAGCTTATATACGTACTCGTACATATTTTATAAAAAAACATATGTTAAATAGTAAAATTGTGAAGTAAATACTGTAAATAAATAACCGTGTTTTATATTTACTTAACATATAAAGACTGGAACTAGCTATCTGGAGATTCTTTCACTGCACTCTCTATTCTATTCACTCTCAAACTCGGGTGAGATGCTATTTAACAGGACCAGTGTGAGATCAGAAGATGGATCGACGGCTTTACGTACTCTCCGAGGCACAGGGGTGTAAAATCGCTAATTTTCTAGTTAAAAATGAGAAAATACACTTGGCCCAACCTTAGACTCGAACCCAGGACCTCGGGTTCTGTTAACGTATATGCTAGCTGCTAGATCAACGAGCCAGTCAAAATACAGTGTGAAACTTTCCTTTTTATTGTTATTTACTTAACTTTCTTAAACAAAGCTCTCTAAGATGAACCTAAATTAGTTATTTTTTATTTGTTCTTAGTTAGCAGATATCATATGATACTAGTAACCTACCCTGACTTTGTTCATGCGTTCCTGGACCCCTTTCGAGTCTTCACACAAAAATACCAACTTTCATATTCATAGTTCACTTGGGTGTTAGGTTTAATCCAAACACATTCAGTAGTTTTAGCATGAAAGAGTTATAAGCATACATACACATACAAATTTTCATAATTAGTAGTGCGCTTAAGAAGGTATTAAAACGTTTTAATCCATCATTATATAAATAATTAATTATTACTAAATTGAGGCTATTCATTCGATATTTTATTTTAATTACCTTATATTGAGATTATCAGGATTTCCTTTAAAGCCAGCTTTTAAATTGAATGAGTTAATTAAACGGACAATTTAGATTTTATTTGTATCGAAAATTGATTTCGTTTAAATGTCATATCGTGAACCTGTAAATAGCATAATTGAGAGTACTTAATCGATGTATGAATTACCTCACTTCGCTCGGTTGCGTCCCTGGGTACGTTTTTAACCCCCGACGCAAAAAGAGAGGTGTTATAAGTTTGACTTGTATGTTTGTGTGTATGTGTATCTGTGTTCCCCAGAAACTTACGACAGATAAAGCGTGTTTAGGCTTCAGCAAAACCCTATTTTTTTCTAAAACAAAAGTAGCCTAAATAACTCCTTATAAAAGCAGGTATCTGCCAGTGAAAGTTCCGTCAAAATTAGTCCAGCCGCTTCGGAGATTAGCCGGAATAAAACAGACAGCCAGACAGACAACATTTTTAAAATTTTTGTCCTTCATAAGAAGTTAAAGAACTTAAATTATATACGGTAATTATAAAAGTGCCGTATATAATTCAATATACATTTAGTAAAAAGCTGTTATTTTAATACTACAAACAAACACTTCAATTTTATTTATCTGTATAGATATGTGTATTGATTAAGATGCCTGATATTTGTTTAATATAATATTTTATTTATAAAAGGGTATAAATTATAATTTACCTATTATATTACTTTAAAAAAAAATTTTTTTAAGTATTTAATATCTAATATATTCTACCTTTACCATGAGACTAACGTTGTGTAATGGATTGGTTTAGATAAGTGCAATCAGTTAAGACCTAATCTCAACGGGCTTAATCCAAAACCTTTGAATAGCTTTATCACCTCGGCAATTACTACGCTGTCAATAGATCCTCTCAATTCAGATTGTTTCTGCTATGATATTATTAACATAATATATTGTACTGTATTTGTAGATCGGAAATTTACTCTAATAAATTAATTCGTTGTTAGCCAATGTGAAGATGACAAAAAAGTATAATTGAATTAAATATTGCATTGCCATTCAACGGGGGAATGCGGCTAGCATTCTTGCCACTATTCCACGCGGACATGACTTGTACAGTAATAACTAAGTGTACATATGTTTTGTATATATAATTAAGAATATTTGTAATTTTCTTTATTGTAAATAAAACGCTTTGTATTGGAAAAAAAGTGATGAATATTAAAAATACTTTGTTTACATTTTTTTTCCATTAGGACCTACTTTGCCCGTTGGGTTGCGCGCATCTGTGTTATTCTCACTGCTGCCTACTTAGCCCGCGAGGACGCCGTTTTGCAGATGCTGGCTTATGTATAAGACTTTTATTTTCTTTAATACTTTCATGGTTTTCGTGAAATAATTTTAAATATCCAAAGTCGACGTCATTGTGAGATATAATGCATGTATATTATATTTCTTACATCAATCGATTCGAACCATAATGTATCTCTTGTGGGACAGCCTGACATCATTAAACTTACTCAAAGTAGTTTTTGACAATTTACAATTTATATACAAACTATGACGAAAATATTTTTCAAAAAAATGAATGAATGGACCGTTTTTACTATTAAAACTACAAAAAGTTCCATTGAGTCGAATTTCTATAAATCTATACTATAATAAAACAGTAGAGGTCGAATGTCTGTACATAGCAAAAAAAATGCTAAAAACCAAGTCAGGGGGATGTAAGAAGACAAATAAAACAAATCCAGATTTTTTTCAATTTTTTTGTTTCTCTGTCTGTTTGTCTGTTTGTACGTGCTAATCTCCGAATCTATTGGACCGATTTAAATGAAATTTTGCTTGGTGGTATCTTATATCCCCGGGCAACATCTTAGATACTTTTTATGCCGGAAAATTAAATAGTTCCGTTCGTGGGATAGTTAGAAATCTATAATAACTAATTCAGTTTAGTACACAAAAACTACTGATTGGATTTTAATAAAACTTTACAATAATATAGTTCATACATGACAATAACAAATTGGCCAATTTTCATCCCGGGAAATTAAAGGATTCCCGTGGGACAGTAAAAAAATTATAGTAACTTATACTGCTTAGTACACAAAAACTAATTGGATTTTGATGAAACTTTACAATAATATAGGTATATATATACATCAGAATAACAAATAGGTTAGTCTTCGTTTATTTTTAACGTATTATACTAGACATCGGGTCGGCGTAAGAAATCCGTCTTAGTAAATATAAGCTCACTTACAAAGTGAGTGTATATTTCGATTAGTTCTATTCAAACACTGTCAGATTTAACATATGAAATAATGTAAAAATGAAATTTTGAACAATTTTAAATCCGCTAAGAACATTGGCCCAGGTCGGCCAATATACACTCCCCCCCAACGTGCGTTCACCTTGTCGTGGTGGGGGGGCTCAGTACCCTTAGCACGAACATTAAACAATTACGTCATGTAATCGTATCGAGTTAACTACACGAAAACGTATACTTAACTATTACTATAGTTGTCGGCAGCACGAACGCCTAAATCTTACTCACGTGTACTCGATAGCATCACGTTACTATAGGTAAACAATGCCTAGAACACAATAGCAATAAGAACGAATGTAATTAAATGATACGTTTAAAAATTGCTGTAATTGTGTTTTTGAAGTCAATTATGGTGATAAAAAAATAGACACCGCGATAAGAATAACTTAAATTTGTGTCCTAGGCAATTTAAAATATTATGTGAACGAAAACTCCAACATTATAATTAAATATTTGGTACATAAAAATGTTCCATGTTTTTTATATTTCGGAACGCGTCATTTAAGTTCTACCACTTAAGAGTAAGGTTCCCAGTTTATAACTATACTCTTTGGAGTAAGGGTCGCGCGTTTCACTTGTTGCTTAGCTCGTTGTTTAAAAGTTTGTATTTATATTTTGTTTTCGATTTTATTAATAATGTCATCAAGAACTAGCCACATGCAGTTTTTAATGATGGTGGAATTCATGGAAAAGTAAGTACTCACTAAATTAAAAACAAGAGCTTTTTATAATTTTATTTATGTTTAAATATATATTCTAATGAGTATATTTATTTATTTAAGAAATGGAGATTTATCGAAACCGCAGTGTTTGCCGCAGGGGCGTCAGTATTGTTTAAAAATGTGGAAAGAATTAGCGGAACTACTTAACAGCCAGGGAATCGGAGAATATCGCAGTGAAGAAAAGTGGCGAAAAGTTAGTTCTAGTTCGTTAATTTTTCTAAAGATTTTAATGCATGTCAAAAGCACTTTAATTATAAAGTTTCACTGCATTGTTATTCACATTTTTTTGTTCATAAACATTTTATTTGCATTGCCTAAGATATGGAGTGATTTAAAAAATAATACGAAAAGGAAGTGGGCAAAAATTAATAGATCGGTGCGTGGTACAGGTGGTGGGCCTGCTCTTAAAATGTGCCTAACCGATTTAGAGAACCGGGTTCTTACTATTATGGGTGTCCAGGCAGCAACTGGAATGCCCATCGCTGAAATTGGTTTTGGAATGGTTTGTGATTTTTTATGACAGCTAATATGAACTAAATTTGGTTTTGTATTCAGGTGGTGACTGTTGCTTTGTTTACTTGTTTGCCACGTTCATTAATTCAAATACTATTTACATACATTACATGCATACTTCCATTCTCACAGTACTGAAAATAAATACTTCAATAGGATATACATATAAATAAAACTTGAAGCTTTTCTTATGACAAAATATTATCTATATAATAATAATATACAAAACCTAAATGTAAAACTATTCAATTTTTTTCCAGGCAGAAGACACTGTGGAAGTTATTCAAATAGTGTCCTATGATGAACCCAGAGAGCCTGTTACTACACCAACACCTATTGTTGGTAAGTTTTAGACTACTCATGTTTACATTTAAAGTATTTTGTAATTTTCTCATTGCACGAAAATATATAAATAAAATTAATATTTAAATTAGTCTTATACTTAAACAATATTTTAAATAATTAATAATTATGTTAAATAAATTGATGAACTATAAAATCCAGTTAGTTTATATGTAGGTAATTTTGCAGTATATGTATAACTAATTTTATATATATTTCAACAGACAATGAAGACTGGAACACTCCTGGGTGCAGCAAGGATGCAGTACCAGTACCTCCTATCCTAGGATCCTTCACACCGCCTAGACCGTCTACACCCATTAAACCCACCACTCCACCAAAATCTCCCACAGTCCCCCACAGGCAAACCACCTCACAACCTCCACCTCGCAAGAGGAAAAACACCATAACCCTACCAGAATATTTTATCATGTGTGAGGAGAATGCAAGAAAGTATAATAAGGAGAGAGAAAGGATGGCCTTAGAATTAGAAAGAGAGAGGATTCGACAGAGAGACATTGAGCTTCGTCAACGAGATACTGAGCTACAGTTGCAAGCTCAATGGCTAGAGTTTATGAAAGTAGCACTGAATGTTTTAGACAAATATTTTAGTAATAAGCATTGAATATTATATAGTGTAGTGTGTAGTATTATTTTTATGTGAATAATTTATAATAGGATTTATTAAAATTAGAATTAGTTTTAATTATTATAAGTGTCTGTAATTAAAGAGTTCTTGAAAATTTATGTGGTTCTGTTATTTGTACCTAATAATAATAGTGATGGAAATAATAACAAAAATCTATAAAAATAAATTTACTTAAACAACTTTAAACTATAATAATGATTACTACATAAATTATATAAAACCTAATCTATAACTAAATATAACTATCTACAACAAAAAAATTATATATATAAGCAGTAATTAAATCTTGGAAAATTTTAAGTTATTTAATTTAATCTATCTACAAGAAGTCTTCTTAGAGCACGGCCTCTTATTAAATCGCCGCTCGAACTCGTATTCCCTGCAATTGATTCGGTTGGTTGAGATACGGGGTCCTCTTGAATAGTAGGATCGTTCTCTGGATCAGGTACGCCAAATTTAAGGGCTATATTATGTAATACACAACAAGCTATTATTATTTTGGCGTACTTTTCCGGTGAATAGTGAAGAGTGCGATCCTTGTGGACACACCTCCATCTGTTCTTCAATCTGCCAAAGGTGTTTTCGATGACCACCCTCGCTTTACCGTGAAGCGACGTATAATTCGCTTCGGGGCTACCCTCAACGGCATCGGTAATGGGTGTCATCAACCACGGCCTTTGTGGATATCCGGAATCACCTATAAAAAAAAGTAAACAATATTATTATAAAAAGTTTCTGAAGTAAAAAAATCTCTTCGGTAATTATTAATTAAGTAGAAATCGCGTAAAAATATATATACTTTATATATTTATTACCTAATAACCAAACTTGTTCATGGTTACGATGTAGTTCTTGCATATAGCTATTTACTTGCCTATTTTCCCAAATAAAAGCGTCATGCGTAGCTCCTCCATATTTGGCATTAATACTTAAAATGCGACATTCACTATCAACAACCTGCAAAAAATAGCAAAACTATATTTTGTTGTTTCATGATAATTCTAAAATTACGAGGCGACGAAATTATTTTCGTTACTCACCATTTGTACATTAATTGAATGAAAATGTTTTCTACAATAAAATAAATGCTCTATTTCTTTTCTTGGTTTGTATATATGAAAATGTGATGCATCTATACACCCACAAACACCGGGTATATTGTATTTTCTGAAAAATCTGTTAATAATTACAAATAAATTATTAAAGAGAAAATAACAAACATGAAAATAATCTATACCAATAAATAAAACTTTGACTACTTTTGTTTTATCGCGTCCCTTTCAGTCCTTGAAGTGGGAAACTTGATAAATGTATTCGTTATGCTTGGGTCGTTAAGTGCCTCCGTAACTTGGGTCACACATTTGCTTACACTTGTTTGCCCCAAGTGCTTACCCATACCGACTAAGCGTTGGTAAGAGCCTGTTGCATAGAACGACAAAGCACAAAGAACCTAAAACATAAATAACAGTTTAATTAGCTTACATACAATATTTATTTTATTTTGAGAGTAAGTAAATTAAATTCATTCCCTGTACCTTAAGCTCTAAACTTATTCTTTTACTCGCCCTCAAGTTAGTTTTTGAGCGAAGTTCTTGGCATAAAAATTTAAATGCCTCTTTGCTCAATCTATACCTTTTTTTAAATTCAGATTCCGATATATCCATGGGATCTTCGGTTCTTCGAAAAAATACTCGTTGAGAAATACCGCTGTGACATGATTTAAGTGCATTAAGTACACTGGAAGTTAACTTAAGAATTAAACTATAAGTAATACGAAATAAAGTTTCACCACAAACCTTAATTCACGTCTTTCCCTTCTTGCTTCTTCAGCCAAACGTCACGCAAAATAATAAAAAGCCGTGGATGGGGCTCTATACGGTATTAAATTTAACATTTTAAAGTTATTTAAATAGAAAACACTTAGAAATGCTCAACCGACCTCTCTCGATCACTTACTCACTTTAAAAATGTCGGTGACTACGTTTAAGTATTTCTCGATAGCCAGCTAAAGTAAAGTGGCGATACTATACGTCAAAAAAAGATTCGTGCTGCCGATTCCCATACATTTGTCTAGTTTACTACACGTTAACTACTCGATAACTATACGAAAGCTAACGCTAGAGGTTCGTGTTGCCGAATTTTAGTTCCAAATACGCTCACGGAGCGCTGTTCAAATTTCCATACAAAATTTTACTATAACTATACTATCACGTTAACTATACTATAGAGCAAAAATGTTCGTGCTAGGGGTACAGTAGTAGTAGCGAAGCTAAGAAACGCACAGGGAGGTTGCCCACTTCGGTGGGCGGTGGGAGGTGGCCCTCTTCGGGGGGCGGTGTACCTTGCGGGTTGCTCCTGGTACTTCTCTGATAGCAGAGTGGACCTTGGAGCAACCCCAAGGTTGTGGTGGTCTGCTTTGGCAGACCTGCCGTCGGGGCGTCGTAGTTGAATGCGTAAGCGATCCTGCGACGCCCCATTAAGACGGGGGAAGGTTTTGTTGGGTTTTAGTGGGTAGTACTGGCTGTATTACGCCGGTCCCACACCTCGTGCGTAAATGCATTTCCCAACGTTAAAAAAAAAAAAAAAAAAGGTCGGCCAATATACGCGCCAATTCAAAGAAGCAAACAGAAACATAACATAACGATTTAGCTTACAAAGCAAGGACGGGAAAAAGTGCTTTATGGGTTTTAAAATAAGGTTCATTTTATAATAAGGATTATAAAACTGACGAAATGATCATAAGTGTATGATAATAATTTGAAGATTTGTGACTTTATTACAAGGTGCTATGGTGTTGATTAGGTTAAAAGTATAACTATTATAAGACTTTGTATTGGTTCGTTAGTATACAAATAGCTGTATAAATACATATTCGCGCGGACAGAATTTAGCTTGATTTTGTATGTGACACGTTATCTAGTAGTATTGTTGACCGATGATTGTGTGTATGATAACCAGATAACCACCTGTATGTATGCAGGTACAAAGCGTAAATGCATTTCCCAACGTTAAAATTGAATAGCTTGTTTTAGCACAAGTACACATACACACTTTCGCATTTATAATAGCAGTCAGATGAGGTCTAAAAAGAATATTCGTGGGAAATAAAAATAGTGAATATAAAAAAATACCATAATAAGTTTTGTGTGTCCTAAGTTGGTAAAAACTATTAAAGAAAATTGGAAAAAATAAAAGATCTTATATTTTAAAGCCAATACTAGTATTGTAAATTATCGCCAAATGTTGCTCATTGAACGCAATATTTCATTGGTACAGGTACTTTAAAATTTTATTGCGAGGTAAGTAACCGAGTTATGTGCTTTGATATTAGGATTGCCGTCCATTGTATTAACCACAACCAATATTTCATACCTAATTTGGATCACATTAATACTATTTTTTAGCCGACTGCGTGACGCAATGGAGGGTAATGTGTTTATCAGCCTATGTATGTATGTACGTGGGTTTGTACCTTTGTGGCACTATTAGACTAAACGTGTGGGCCGATTTTGGACGCCATAATATGATTTTGAAAATCGACGAATTATGTCAAGAGGGGTATCGCTGAATACGTATTTAAAAATCATTTTTAGGTTTCTTTCGTCATTTTTCATTTTAAATAACAGATTATGATATATGATTTAAAGTTGCTTAACAACCATTCTCACCAATATTTTCGCGTTATTCTGTTTTAAAAAAAGAGCACGCCATACGCATGAAAAATGTGTACCTCAAAATATCTGGAGTATATCAAAATACAAAGGCAAACGAAATACCAGCGGTCATGACTGTTTGAAACAGTTGAAGCAAAACATCTGTAATTATTCACAGAATACGCAATTCTTATTGACTAAGGGCTGATTTTTCAATAATGACTAATATTAATATTGTAAAGTTGTCGAAACTTAAAAATCCATTATTTCATTTGAAAGAACAATATAAATTTTACTGCTTCAATAAATCAATGAAATATTTTTATTATTATATAAAATTATTTTTGATTTGTTTACATTTTCATATATAAATTATACTACAAATATCTACATAAAAAATACACAAAGCTGCCGGTAAAATACAATATGAAAATCTGCGTAAATTCCCATTACATATTTTCATTCGCCTTTTTTCATTTGCATTCTGTTTATATTACGAAAATAACATATTTTCGTAATATAATCATACTTTTTGTTGATCAATGACGATTTTATACGTTTTTACATATTTATTGAATGTATCGAATTTTATAAGGTAGGTATATTTTTAATTTTTAATATGACATAACAAACTTTAGACTTACAGACCAAAAGAAATCTTCTGGGAATTGAATTTATAATTAGATATATTACTGCGTCTCTTTTACAAACTGTTTCAAACTTTACTCGTAAAATATACATAGAGGTACAAGGTCGCTTGCAATACGTTTACGTTGTGGACGATAAACCTATAAAGAGAGTATTCGACCGCCTTTTAAACAGCTCGGCACTCGTCCCGCTGAAACGGGCTTTGATCTTTTTTACTTTGACTTAAATGTGTCATGTTTGAATTTTCCTTCACTTTGATTTTAGGTTACAGTCAAATTTTCTGATCTAGTACAATGTAGAGTGTTGTTAAATCAAATTCCTAAACTTTGTAATAATCTCTCCAACTGCTTCGTTTTTTATTGGCTAGTATGTATTACAGAGGATATGTGTTCGAGTTCCGCGTAGTGCAAGGTAAGGTGATTGGGTGCTTCTGATCAAAAAATTTTCAGTAACACCCCGGAGTTAAGGGAGATACAAACTAAACTATACTTTGCAGGGCTCATAAAACCATCGGTCCTGCCCCTGACCTCTCGTTCTTGTACACTATAATATTTCCTTTGCAAATAGCTCGTCTCAAGAAAATCGACCAGGAAAACGTGAATATTCTCTTTACTTAGCTTTACTTTTGTAATATTTTTTTACCGTAAACGGATGTAGCATTTTTTAATAATTAAATTGTATTTATGACTTATATCTATACTAGAAGCAGGCTTACATAAAATTATGTATTTATAAAGCAAAATATATAAATTCTGACAGGAGATGAGTTTGCGGTTAAACTCTGTTCTCTTGCAGGACCATACTGCACGAATTGAATTACGAACATATATTATATGAATTTTATAATCCAGTGCTTTGTTTAGAAGTGTCATTTGGTTAAGCTTACCACAATATAATTATTTTGAAAATACCATCATTAATTTGAATTAGTTGATCAATTAACTGACCTAATTATATCGAAAATTGCAAATGTATTAGAAATTGGCTACAAAACGTGCAAAGCACGCTTGTTACATTTTGATAAAATAAGCTTTTAATTACCATAAGTCATTTTTGTTAATTACAGCAGACATTTTAGTAATCAATGCCAAGAAAAACAGGTGATATATCGCACTATTTTAATCAATAATATGATTTATTCCTTTATACAAATAAAATATTTCTGGAGATGATACTTGCTAATTCTGATAATTCGACTAATATTATTAAGTTTCTGAGTATGTATGGATATATGGAATGTATGTTTGTTATTCTTTCACGCAAAAACTACTGAGCGGATATTAATGAAACTTTACAGTAGGTACAATAGTTTGTACATCAGAGTAACACATAAGCTATAATTTATAAAGATTTAGTTGGTGATATGGCGTTTAACTACGCTGTCAGAGCCGTGGAGAAACAATTTTATTTCCGTCCTAAAATATAGCATTTCGGGAAAAAAGAAACATTTATTTATGATATCTGAGATACGATAAGTAATTAAGTAAGAAAAGAAAAAGTGGGGCCGAATTCGTATGATAGGCACGTCCTTGTGTCAATAATAACAAGTTGGATTCGTTACGTAATCTAAATTAGTTTGAGCTGTGATGGATTACTGGGATTTATAGTTCAAATAAGTAGAATAAAATCGCTTAAATATTTATAATACTAATATATTCGTATAAATGTATTAATATTTCATACTAGCTTTTCATGAAAGTTAGAAATGATTTTTTTTTGTTTATTAAACTAAACTAACACTTAGACATAATACGAAAAGCTCAACGCAACTCTATGTTCGAGAACATTATGTAGCCACTTGCTCTGCATCGTCTTTTTCAATAATTTCTTTTTGTGTTTTATACTTTCTTTTAAAATTTCATTTTACATAGCGGTTATCGTAGATAGTACATTTTATTTGGCAACATTTAAACGCGCTAACTCTTTTTCGCTTTAATCTTTGACATGATAACCGTTGTTATTGTCTGTCAAATGATATACTCGTATAATATTATATTCTTTCCCCTCAATCTCATTCGTGTCTTTTTCACAAAACGTGACACTGGCAGAATGGATTGCGTCTGTTAACGCAACTATAAGCTATTAAAGAAAAAAAAATCTTTCCTTCTTTTCTTTCCATTGCGGCCACTTTTACATAGTTGAGAAGTATTGTATCATGCACAGAAAAAAATTGCTTTAATTTGATATATAAATGATGAATATACGCGATGAACGTATAAACGTAACAAAATATGACCTGCTTACATCTGGCTGCGAAGAGGTTGCGGCCAAGTGCGCAACGGCAGCTATCACTTTTCAAGATCTCTACGTATATTTCTGTGAAGTATAATTCATTTTAATAACAAGTGCATCATTTTTGTTCC